AAATAAATAAATAAAAAGGTTTGGGATATGGCTTGGTGGTTAAATGCCCCTGGCTATAATCCCCAGTACCAATAAATAAATAAATAGATAAATAAATTAATTAATTAGTTAGTTGAAAATTAACTAAGTAAGAATTAAGACATATTCATATATAATCTTATCTTTGATTTAGGCATGGAATATTTTATTCTTTGACAAAGATAGACTCCTATCCTAACCCAGGAAGGTAAAAAGTCTTGGTCTTCCAAGTGGCAATATTGGGACATGGTAAATATGTCTTGACTCCTTTTTCCTCCATCCTGTGTTAATACCTTAGTTTTCATTTCTTTTGAGCTCACTGACAGTCACAGTACCTTCCTGACTTATTCCCTTTCTTTATTTTCCTCTTTTAATCCAAACTAAATAATGGCTCTCCAGAATTATTTCTGCCTAAGTCAGAACACTCAAAGAAGATTTTCAGGGGAAAACAACACTTAAAACGCTTGCCTAGCATGTGTGAGGCACCACATAAAAATAAATAAATAAAGGTATTGTGTCCATCTACAACTGGAAAAAAAGAAAAAAAAAGACGTGAAAAGGAGGGAAAATAGAATAAAAAGAAGTGTTGGGGCTGTAGCTCAGCAGTAGCTCATTTGCCTGGCATGTGTGAGGCACTGGGTTCAATTCTCAGCACTACAGATAAATAAAATAAAGATCTATAAACAACTAAAAAAAAAAAATTTTTAAAAATGAGGTGAGGGTAAGAAACTTTCCAAAATTTGTATAGCTAGAAAATGGGCAGAACAAGGATTCAACCCTATTTCTATCTACTTCAAAGTCCATACTCTTTCATTTTGCTGTTTAAATTTTATAGCCTAATGGTAACCACAAAATCAAGATTCCAATGGAGAATCTGTTTTGCCTCATTTTGCCTTTGGATTTTTTATCAAATGTGAAAGTTGCCTGTGCAATTGTCAAACATATGCATTACATTTGTTGGATGCTTAAGCCAAAAGGAAAAATGATAATGAGATTATAATCTAAAATTTATGATTCTGAATAAAAGAGAGGCACAACATGGCTTTTAGTATTATAGTAGGTGTTGCTTAATACTATGAATCTAATATTCTTGGTGAAATTTTGTTGTTATTATTGTTTGAGATGTAATCTCACTATATTGTCCAGGTTGGCCACAGGCTCCTGGGCTCAAGTGATCCTCCTACCTTAGCCTCAGTAGCTGGGACTACAGGTATGGACCACCATAAGTGGCTAATGTGATTCTTTTTTAAATTGAAATTTACCTATATAGAGTATAAATTCAGTTCTACTGTTGGTTTTTTTTTTGTGTGTGTGTGTATGTGTGTTTTTTTGGTTGTTTACTAACTTGTTCATACACCATAAAATAATAACCTGAACTTATCAAAAGCCACTGAAGAAATAGAAAATATGCCAAGTTTTTGACTTACAGGCAGGAAAAGACAACTATTGAGACTATAAATGATTTGCTTGAACAATGACTCAGCCTTTGGACTCCCATCTTCTGTTTATTTTCCTTGCCAAACAGACGTTTTCATTCAGGTCAAACTACAAGGTGCAAATAAGAAGATCCATGCTTTCTATTTGAAGATGAAGAAACACAGGCTGAGTTCGAAAATACTTTAGGATAAACTGTTCCCATTCCATTTTCTTAACAGAAAGAAAAATTGTGCTTGGAGTTTCCTTATTTTATATCTGCATTCTGCCAATAAAAACCTACAATTATGGGATAAAATGAAGTTTGAAAAGTACTTTAGGTTGATGTTGAGAAATTGGAATCTTCCTAACATTAATGCTAAAAAAAAAAAAAAAATCTAAATGGTAGAGATGCTTTGAAAAACACTTTGGCAGAGCTTCAAAATGTTAAATGTCAAGCTACTATATCACCTAGCAATTTCACTCCTACATTACACACCCAAGAGAATGGAAAACATGTCCAACTTGTACCCAAGGTTCACAGCTCATTACTTACCAAAGCCAAAAAGTGAGGGGAGGGGAAGGCAAACATCCCTCAATTGATGAATGGATAAGAGAAGTGTACTGAATTCATACAACAGAATTTTATTCAATATAAAAAGAAATGAAATATTGATACATGCTATGGCATAGATGAATCTTGAAACATGCTAAGTAAAAAAAAGTCAGTCACAAAAAAATTGCATTATATGAATAATATAACAGATTGCAACTGTATAGAGACAACACATTACTGGTTGCTTAGAAATGGGAAAAGCAGGGAGAGCATTTGGGAAGTGACTACTAATTAAAAGATTTGTTTTTGGAGTGACAAAGAACGCACTAAAATTGGGTTGGGGTTGTGGCTTAGCGGTAGAGTACTCACCTAGCACGAGCAGGTCCCTGGATTTGAACCTCAGCATCACATGAAAATAAATAAAAAAAAGATATTGTGTCCAACTACAACTAAAAAATAAATAAATAAAAGAATACTCCAAATTGTGGTGATAGCTGCACCTTCTAATTATACTAAAAACCATTGAATTGTACATTTCATATGTTTGAATTGCACCGTAGTGGATACTATCTCAATAAAACAGGTTAAAAAAAGAAAATGTAGGAAAAGAGAACTTTGGTTTGAACAATACTTGTGACTTTTTCCTTGTAATAATTAGGTAATTGTTTAGCACAGGAAAACAGTATTATATTATTAAATCAAAAAGAAGAAGATTACCTAACCTTAGTTTAATTTTAATTTCAGTAGTTTAGGGGAAATAAGATAATTTTAGAACTACCACCCACTATTTTATACATATGTAGACATAAAATTCTAACTAAAAACACTGTAAACCAGCAATCTTTTCTTCATACTTTCATATAATAAGTCCACTGATGCCCCTGAATGGATGACTAGCATTTTATAGCCTTTGTGCATTTTCAGCACTGGAGATAACCTTTATGTTATGGTTGTAGAAGTGAAACAAGTTCTGAGGCATGTCTGGCTGACAAAAAAAGGTATAATAGAAATCAAAGAGGAAGCAGTTCTAAAAAAACAATAGGGTATACTACTTGTTTTCTCTACATTTAATAAGAGTTTTCTGGGAAATTGAGCAAAACTGAATCCAGGGACTAGTAGATATCTATATACTCAAGAGTCAGAATGACTCAGCTGGGAAACAGATGGCACTGATAAAATACATCTCTGATCACTGCAAAAGAACGACAGTTTTTTCAGGTAAAACAATTTCTAAAAAAACAATTTAAAGAGTTTTATAGAATTATAATTCTAAGAACTACATCTAATAATAACTTATTGGTATCATGCATAAAGTTTAATTAAAGTATAATCAACAACAGTAACCTGCAATAGCTGCACTACAAGTACACTGTGATAGATCGATCGATCGATAGATAGATAGATAGATAGATAGATAGATAGATAGATAGATAGATAGATAGATAGATAGATTATATAAATGAAACTACTACCACAATCAAGATCAGGAGAATTTCCATCCAAGTTTCCTCTTGACTCTTTGTCATCTGTACTCCTCCTCGACACCTGCCCCAGGTGAACACTGCTTTGATTTCTGTTTAGATTGGGGTTTTTGTACATGTACAAATGGAATCATACCACATGCAATTTCTTTAGCTTTTCTCTTTCAGCATAATGATTTTTTCTTCCTTTTTTTTCTTCATTTTTTCCAATAATGATTTTAGTATCCCTCTATATCAATAGTTCGTTGCTTTTCATTGATAACAGTATTCCCTAGCATCAATATAATACCATTTGATTATTCGTTTCTCAGTTGATAGACTTTTGAGCTGTTTTCAGTTTGATTAATTAAAAATAAATTGGCTATGAACATTTGTATGTAAGTTTTTGTGTGGTCATATGTTTCCATTTATCTTGAGTAGGACTTGAATGGCTGATCATATGAGAAGTATATGTTTAAATTTTCAAATAACTAGCCAGGCACATGGTATACACTTGTAATCCAAGCAATTTGGGAGGATCACAAGTTCAACACCACCCCTGGCAACTTAGCAAATCCCTGTCTCAAAAATAAAAAGGACTGGGGTGTAGCTCAGTAGTAAAGCACCAGAGGGTTCAATTCCCAACATTGGAAGAAAAAAAAGTTTTTAAAATAACTATGAAACTGCTTTCCAAAGTATATGTGTCATTTTAGATTCCAAACAATAGTATATGAGAATTTCAATTTCTCTATGACCACCCTAATCCTTAATATGGTCAGTCTTTTCATTTTAACCATTCCAATAGTTATGCAGATATACGTTTTTTGATGTTGTTGTTGTGTTGTTGTTTTTAGTTGTAGATGGACACATTTAAGATCAAACTCAGTGCCTTGCACATGCTAGGCAAGTGCTTTACCACTGAGCTACAACTGCAGCCTGTGTTTTGGTTTTAATTTGTGTTTTTCTAATAAATAAGATTGAATATCTTTTCATATGCTTATTCACCACCTATCTTAAAGCTTTTTTTTTTTTTTCTCTCTCTCTCTTTTTGGCAGTACTAGGGATTGATTTTAGGGCTTTGTACATGCTACATGAGCACTCTACCAGTGAGCTACATGCCCTGCCTTATTCACCATTTATCTTCTTTGGAGAAGTATCTGTTAAAATATTTTGCCCATTTTAAAAACAGATTTTCTTGTTATTGGT